AATGGCAAAATTGACCACTTTGATTAAAGAAAAGAACGTAAATATTTTTGTTTCCATATGGAGTTCATGGCTTCTGAACTTTGTGCTTGATGTGGAAAAGAATGAAACTCTGACTTTGGATTTTACCGATCAGTCTGATAGATCTTTATAGAAATGGCTTAAATTGAATTGTTGAATTGTCCTACGGCGGGTTCTGTTGCCACAAGTTGTCTATAGCAAGTTGCCTGAACAGGCCATGCCAAGGGGGTTGAGGTGAGTTGGCCCATTCTGTAATAAAGCATTGATATGAAACTAGGGCACTGCTGCATGCCAAACTTGGCATTCTTTTGTTGGTCAACTGGAAGGATTGGTGGTTGATTTAAGGGAAGGAATGATCACTGCAAAAAAGTGTTAATGAAGACAGATGCTTCAGCAATTTTGTGGATTTCAGGGAGTTAGAATACTTCTTTGGAAGTGTCCCCTAACCAATAAGGCTTAGAAACGTAATTTTTGGCATAGGATGACGAATTACTATGTAAATTTAGGATTAATTTCTCAGAAAATGTATTAAGTATGCCATATTGAACTCCTGGAGGAAAGGTAGAATGTAAACCCACAAAAAAAAAAAATCAAGAGAAATAAATAAATAAATAACAAAACATATGCTGAGAAAAAAACTGAATATATTTTATTTCAATCATCTGATTTTCAGCATTATACTTAGGCTTGCTGACTCTCAAAATATGTGTGAGTTGGTAAAGAAATGACTCAAAAAGTATTTAAAACCACAGAGGTCAAGTCAGGGCTATATATGGGAGCTGACCAGAAACCAAGAGCTCTATAGCAGCAATGTGATGATCAAAAATAGATCAGGTCCAGCTTTCCACCTATCCCAAAAAAGAAATAAACAAAATGTAAATACAGAAGTATCAGATGTATGGAAATGCAGTACCAGCATTTTGTAATATTCCCTAGCATCCTAACAGCACCACCATTCTTCATCCTGGGAAGACAGTAATTTCCCAAAGAGTGAGTTCTGAAATTTTCTACCATGTATGTATATATGTTTTCTAGCAGCTGTACAATAAGAAACAGAGAACAAGTGAGATAATTGCTTCATAAAATCAAGTACCGTTTTAAAAACAGTAGAATGGCTCTAAAAATGTTCTTTGTTTAGGTTTGACAAAGCTGGGAGAAGGTATTCTCCTGCCCCCAAGTGGCTACATTGTATAATTCACTTTTGCCATAAACTCTCATGTGTTTCAGGCTTAATTCTGGTGGGACATAGAAAGATAATACTAACCTGGACAGTGATCAGATTAAACATTACATATATACACCATATATACATATACATACATACATACATACATATATATATGTATGTATGTATGTATATGCATATGTACATATACACATACATATGCATATACATATACACATACACATACACACACACACATATATATATATTTCACGTCATTATAGTTGTGCTTTTAAAGTTGTCGCAACGTTTTGGCAGAATCTAATCTGCCATCATCAAGCTTCTGTATAGTGTTCGTCTGTAAGTTAGATTTTCACAGCCGTTTCTGTTTTAAATTTGGTGCTAGCCTCACTGTGCCAGAATGGTTTTTTCTGCATCCTGATTGGTTGGGAGTCTTGGTCTGTGTTTATTGGTCTTGGAGTTTGCTGTGTTCTGCTTGATTGGTGTTTCTAATATCTTCTGTCTCTTTTGTGGCTTTTTTTGTCTTGATTGGCTGGCAACATTGTGTTTCCTGTATTGGAGGCATTTAGTGCGGCTTGACTCTGAGTAAATAGACAGTAAACTACTGTTCCTAGATGTACTAATCTACAAAAAAACAGATGGCACACTAGGACACACCATATACCAGAAGAAAACACACACCAACCGCTACCTCTATGCCCAATCCCACCACCACCCAGCACAGATAAACTGTGGCCAAAACACTAATTGCCAGAACCAAACGCCTGGCAGACAAGACACACATAAAGACTGCACTATGCACCCTGACTAAAGTACTGACAGCCAATGGCTTCCACAAAAGCAAAATCACTGGCTTGATCCACAAAAACACAGAGACATAATGGAGACCTAGAAGATGAACAGACCTATGGAACAGCTGTCCTGCCCTACATAAGAGGTACTACAGACAAAATCAGTAAGATACTACACAGGCATCACATCTAGACTGCCTTCAAAACAGACAGAAAAATAGCAGCCATCCTAAGAAACCCCAAAGATAAAACAGACCTGGAAAACCAAGGCATATATGAAGTCCCCTGTGCATCATGCCTGGCCACATACATTGGACAGACCAATAGAAGAATAAGTACCCACCTGGATGAACACAAAAATGCAGTAAAAAAGCTGGAACACAGTTCCTCACTAGTCGAACACATGAAAGCAACAGGTCATAGCATCGACTTCAATGGCACCAAAACCCTAGCCACTATAGAAAACCCCAGCTACAGAATTATCAGAGAAGCCATAGAGATTGAAAAAAAACCTGAAAGCATGAATAGAAGAGATGACTCCTCCAGACTGTCAATTATCTGGAAGCCTGCACTCACAAACAAAAAAATCTCCACACCACAAGCCAGGCAAACACCTGGGCACAAACAGACTCCCCCTGATACCTCCAGCTCAAACACACCCCAACCAGGCACCCAGATGAAACCTAGCTTCCTAATAAATGATAGCTGTCCGTTTACTCGGAGCCAAGCCGTACTAAATGCCTCCAATACAGGAAACACAATGTTGCCAGCCAATCAAGACAAAAAAAAAAGCTACAAAACAGACAGAAGATATTAGAAATACCAATCAAGCAGAATACAGCAAACTCCAAGACCAATAAACACAGACCAAGACTCCCAACCAATCAGGATGAAGAAAAAACCATTCTGGAACAGCAGCAGGCTAGCACCAAATTTAAAATAGAAATGGCTGTGAAAGTCTGGCTCACAGACGAACAGAAGCCTGATGATGGCAGATGAGATTCTGCTGAAATATTGCTACAACTTCAAAAGCACAACTATAATGACGTGGGAAAATACCTGAACAAAGCTGATACTGTAAAATCCACATTCCCTCCCCACCCCACTGCTTTTCAGCTCTGTTCTCCTGTGCAGGGCAACGAAAGAAGATCCAGCTGATTAGCTGGGACTTGAGAGGCAGAGAATAGATGGGGGCAGGGCCAGTCAGAGGTGGTATTCCAAACTACTCAAAATTTCCACTACCAGTTCATCGAACTACTGATCAGTTCTCCAGAACTGGTCAGAACCTGTTGAATACCACCTCTGTAACTGCTATCGCTAAATGTAGCTAAGAAAAAAACAACCATCACTATCAAATATTTCAAAAATGGAAAAGATAAATATCTGTATGAATCGAGTCTGAGTTCTAATAGTATTTGCTTCAAGAAAGGAACCTAACCCACTAAAGCAAAAAGTTGAGATTGGAGTGTGTTTATCTTGTACTGTGCTACGAGGAGTTGGAAGTCAATGCCACCTTTTTTTTCTTTCTCTTTCCCTTTGTATCTCACATCCCCTTTCCCGTTTCCCTCTCTTACTTTCCCACTTTTTTCTTTTCTTTTTTGTATTTTATATAATAAAAATAAAAACGATAAATACTAAAAAAAAAAGAGAGGAACCTAACCCACTGAAAAGGCAATGTTAGGTTAGACTTTAATGTTTACCCTTAGATTGCTCACAAAACACTGCATTTTCATTAAACACACCACCCTTAGTGTCTGATATTATCTAAATAGCTAGATTATAATTAAATAAAATGTTAAAGTCAGTGGTATAAAGCAAACCATATATGTGACACATAATACATTTTCAATATTTTATTTCATCAGTATTAAACCTATGCAGTGTATCCTAATTATTTGCCTGTTTCCATTTTTCCAAACATATCTCCACCTTTTGATTTTTATCTTTTATCCAATTCATTTTGTGCAATCCATCTACCTGACAAAACTGGTAAAAGTCCTTTTTCTCCTTCTCCCTCCCTCCTCCTCCACTTTCAATTCCATTCCAAGAATACTGCGGTGCTGGAGTGACAGGAAACACCAAGAATTTTAAGACTGTAAAAAGATAACACTTTTTCAAAGGACGAAGGAAAAGCAGAGAATACCATTTACGAAATGATGGGATCAAGTAATTTTTGATACCCGACAGGAGGGCTCTTATGCCTTTCTAGCCATAACTTTGACAGGCCAATAAGCACAATTTTGTTGCAGACAAGAATAATCTAAAGTCAAAACTAAAACATGAACATTATATGGCCCAGATTATAAAATGATTTTAAAAGGAAAGTCTTTTATCGTGACAAGGATTGGGAGCCTTTCTTGACCAGCCTTTTATTGACACCCCACCCATTTGCCCCCCACCAGCTTCCAGGTGAGTATTTGCTCATCTCCTCTGCGGGGCCTGGCTCTTTGGTCACAGATATTGCCCCATCACTTGAGGGTTGGGATGCAGGCGCAGAGATGCTCCTCCAAACAATCTTTGGCCTTTAACACGGAGTTTAACTTTTCCATGGCGTTACCATCTATTCTGAGAGCTTAACAGAGGTCTGAGCTAACAACCCCGCGTGTAAGAGTGCGTGTGTCACGCTCACGCGGTGTAGGTTTTCTCAAGGCCTTGAAGGGAAGGCATATCGGAGGACGTGGACCCGGGGCCAAGAGACGGTGGGCGGACCCTTGCCCTCTTGGGCGAATAAGGAAACGCGCGTTTCCCCTCCGCAGCTTAGCAGGCTTAGCTTTTTCGCGAGGACGAGCCGCTAACCCGGAGAAATAGCCTCGCCCATCTACTTGTTTTCCCAAGCACGGAGCCCCAAAGGAAGGAGAGACCAGCTTAGGCCGCAGCGCGGTGCGGTCTTCCGGTGCTCCGGACTAAACCCGCCGATGTCCAGCGTTCCGCGATTTGTTGCCTGGCGGCCACCGTCTCCTCCATTCTGAACAACCCCTCCCACTTTAACCGGGCGGAGACTAGGGGACGCTCCGGGAGTAGCGTGGCATTTTTTCGGTCGCAACGTCAGGTAGAGCAGCGCGGCTCTCTGTAGAACCCTCCCCCTCCCCCTGTCGCCTGGGCAACGAGCAGTGAACCTCGCCGGACAGAGTTTGATGGGGCCGATGAGGCCTTGGGGACACGCGTTCCGCAATAGCGAGGTGATAGACAGATAGGTAGGTAGGGAGAGAGAGGGAGAGAGAGAGAGAGACATAGGTAGGTACGTAGATAGATAAACACACACACATAGGTATATAGGTAGATAGACAGACATAGATCGTTAGATAAAGAGATAGACACATCTAGTTAGGTGGGTAGGTAGATAGGAAAATAGATATAGAAAGACATAGATCGATAGATATAGATCGGTAGATATAGACATAGGTAGACAGACAGACACAGGTACACAGATACATAGGTAGATGCAGTTAGGGGTAGGTAGGTAGGTAGAGATAGGTAGATACTCGCTCTCTCTTTCTGTGTATTTGTGTGTGATTCTGTGTCTATATGTGATTATGTGCCACCAAGTAGATTTATAGTCCTAGTGACCAAATAGATTGATTTTCTCCATGCCAATGTGTCCCTAACATGTTCTTTCAAGTTTCCCAATGGTGCACCCCTCACCATTGTAACTGAATCCATCCACCTTGCTGTTGATCGTTTTTTTCCTGTTTCTACTTTTCACAGCATTGGGGTCTTTTCCAAAGAGCTGGGTCTTCCTATTATTTGTAAAATAACCTGTTTCTGAGCATTTGCTCCTGGGATGAGAATTCTGGATTGATTTGTTCTATGATCCATTTGTTTATTTTTTTGGCTGTCCAGAACTCTCAGGAATCTTCCCCATCAATATTTATGCATATGTGTGAATGGATAGATGAATGGATGGGATGAATGGATAGATGGATGTGTATGTATCTGTATATGTGTATTTGTGTGTATGAGAGAGAAAGGGCTATGAAACTCTGGCCACCGTACATAGATTACTCATTTCAGTTCAGATATGAATATCAATGAGATCAATGCAACTTGCAGATACCAAATACTTCACTGTTGGCCTGAGTCATATTATCCATGAAGTCATACTGTGCTTTCCTTGGTTACTGTAGGAGTAAACCCAGCCATTGGGAATGGTGATTAGGATGTTGTATGCTCTCAGCCAGTTTATTCAAGAACTAGAAATAATAGTTTACAGGTAATCCTTGACTTAACAACCATTTGTTTAGTGACCATTCAAAGTTATAACAGCACTGAAAAAAGTGACATTACTGGCTTTCTCCTCATGATAACGTGATCACACTTGGCAACTGGTATGTGTTTATGACAGTTGCACTCTTCTGGGATCATGTGATCATCATTTGTAATCTTCCCAGCTAGCTTCTGACAAGCAAAGGCAACAGGGAAAGCCAGGATCTATTTGCTTAATGACTGCATAATTAACCTACCCACCACAGTGATTCTCTTAATAACAGTGCGAAAAGGTTATAAAGTGGGGCAAAACTCAACAACTGCTTTACTTAGCAACAGAAATTTTAGGATCAATTGTGGTCATAAGAGGAGGACTGTTTGTACTTCAGTGTATAAAGGAATGCTTCTAGATCAGGAGATGTCAAACTCAAGGCCTGGGAGCCAGATCCAGCCTGCGGGGTGCTTAGATCTGGCCTGCAGGATCACCCTGGAAACAGTGAAGGATCAGCCCACGTTGCGTCTGCCGGTGAAAACAGGCTCCTGAACTCTCTTTTTGACTGCGATGGCCTGCTGCAACCCTCTGCCAGTGAAAACAGAGCTTGGGATGGCCGTGTGCAAGCTCTATTTTTGCTGGCAGAGGACTGCAGGAAGCCATCACAGCCAAAAACAGAGCTTGGGAGCCCGTTTACCTGGTAGAGTGCTCGGGTCACCATGGGTACCCCCAACACAAGTGACATCGAATTGGACATGCTTACCCCAGCCACACCTACCCTGTCCCCCCAAGATCAAACACAACCATGATGCGGCCCTCAATAAAATTGAGTTTGATATCCCTTTTCTAGATGAACAGTACTCCCAAGTTCTGTCTTTTTTTTAACTGATTAGAAAGGTTGGAAGAATTTGGAAAACCAAAGAAACTATAAGATCAAAACACTCATAAGAATTCCATCCAGTGCAGTGTAGTCAATGAGATCTGATCTGGAAGTTCTCTTCGTTAGCCCACTTTTAAGTTAAACTGTAAAAATTATTTTATTTTAGAAAAATACAAAATATAGACAAAATACCAAAATAAATTAAACTTTTTGAAAAAAATCATATTAACTATGTTTCCATTGTTTATTTGCATTTCTGTATTCCTTTGCTATTGCGATGTCTACATTTTTTTTATCATTTATTCCCCTTATTGTTGTAAGCTGCCCTTAGTAGCCCCACAGCAAAATGGGTGGGAAATAAATTTAATAAATCATTAAAGTTAATAATAAAAAGGAAAAGAAAAGAAAGGAGAAAAATGGAAAACAGAGAAATAAAAATGTCTTATCTTATACCAGAAGTGTTGCAGGTTATAATTTGGGAATCGTTGTACTAAGCTATTCTAATATGAACAGTCATGAAAGTAGTATACGTGTTCCTAATGCAAAACATAATTTTTTAATCGTTCAAAAAATTATTGAATACAATCCTATGGCTACTCTAGATACTGTTAATGGTAATATCTGATCTTATATGTTCAACATATATTATTTCTCCTCCTCCTCCTCCCCTTCCTTCTCCTCCCCCTCCCCCTCAGTTTGATGTCCTAATTCAGCAGAGAAATGCTTTATTGACATTTAGGGTCCCTAAGGATTCCTTTAATTATTCTCTAACTCAGAGTTGATCCTCATGAATAGAGCTTAATAGTAGATACATAGTAAAACTAAAATACTATTTTAAATGTTGTCGTACTTCACACCAAAACTTAGTTGTTTTAAACCTCAGTAATATAATAGTATCTGTAACAATCCAAGCTACTCTCTCACTTGAAAATGCTAGCTGTAAACATTCAAAATGTTAATGGAACATTAACCATGATATACAAAAGCATATTCACCCTAACTGAATGAGATTGGCCAATTTACTGAGCAACAGCTAGTAACTTAGCTGATGTTTCACTCTATTGCCATCTGATTGTACTTCTCTGGTAGCTCCAGTATTCAAATTTGGGCATCTTGAATGTTGCTAGAACTGTACAAACACGACTGAATTCTTAACCTTGTATCATTGCAGCACAATAGACATATATCTTCATTTCTTTATATAGATCTTCCATCATGCTGACTGAAAATTCTCAACAAAATTCTGATACATCTAGAAGGCCTAAGTTTGGAAAGCATTTCTGTATCTTTCCAACAATGTTGCATTTTAGATCAATGTGTCATATTTAGTAGACTGCCTCTATGCTGACATTAAGCAAAATTTGAGAAGTGTAGTGCAAGTTTATGCCAGACAGGGAGTTTATAGATTAGACTTTTGTCTTAGCAGGAAATCTAAGAAATATAAGAACATGAGAAGAAAAGTTTTATAATTTAAAGCAGGGGTATGTCTCAGGCCCATTGGGAATTGGGCCATGCAAACTGCGGGCGAGCGCATGAAGCTTCATTAACGCATGCACGGGATTTAAGTTGCATGTAAAACCAACCCCACCTTCCGCCACTGACATCACCTCCGCCCTTCTGCCAGACCATGGATCTAGAAAGGTTGTAGACCACTGATTTAGAGAATGCATATGATAAAGTACATGGACTTGACTGATTATATGTTTTGTATGAATATGAAATACAATAGGATGGTTTCTAAGTATAGTAAGTGTGGTATATGATGAAAGTAAAGCATGCATGCATTGTGAATAAAGGAATGCTAAGTGAATTGTTCAGTAGGGACTAGAACAACAAAATGTAATGTTCTATTCACTATTTAAGACATTTATGGATTAAAAAATATGAAGAATGTTTGTGGTGAAATTAGGGAAGTATTCATTACATGAATGTATATTTATTTTTATATGCATGAATGTATGTATATTTTTATATGCAGACAATGTATCGGGTAGATTTGCAACAAATGTTTGATGCAATGAAGCATATAGATCTGAAAGAGAAAATAGCATGAACAAGGAAAAGTGTGTTGATATTAATTATCTTAACTTTTTCTTATCTTATTATGTTTTAATTTATTTTCCTATTTATTTGTATGAAAATAGATGATAATTTGATTATTACATTCACACACACACACACACACACACACACTGGTTTTTTCCCTTCCCATCACTTGAAGAATTACAGTTTAGTGATAAATTTCCAGCAAATAGAGAGGCCAAACTCAAAAGTTTCGGAGGCTGAATGTGATACTGTTTTTTTGAATATTCCCTTCTTTTTGTTTGCATCGATTACAGAGATTTTGTGTGTGGAAAACATTTTCAAAGTCCCATACATATCCTCTCCCCCTTGTGTATCTATTTTACACCCATTGCAAGCATTGTATAGTATTTAACCAAGTGGCTACATAATGCATCTATCTGTCTTACTTATTTTAATTTGCTTCCCTAGAACGAATACTGAAGCTAGTAGAAGATAATCCAGTGCTCTTTCTTGAACATTATGCCAGGCAGTGTATGTCATCATGTGTCGCAAGTAAGGACACTGTACAAAAAGATCCTTCAGCTTCATCGTGTATTGCCCCTGGAACTGAAAGCACTGGGAGATCAATATGTGAAAGATGAATTCAGGCGACACAAATCCATCAGCCTTCAGGAGGCCCAGCACTTCCTACAGGAATGGGAGGCAAGTGATTTCTTCTTTACTTGGAGTTACCTTGCTTTAATTTTGATGCTGAGCCTTTATCATTTGCACCCCAAAGGCCATCTGCAATTCTTCCAGTTACCCCTGACCTCCTTAAAATGTTGCTGTTGAATTGAAATGCTTAATATGACATCAGTAGAAAATTGTTAAGTGTTCAGCAAGTAAACATGCTACTTGTATTTAATAATTAAAATAATTTTAAGAAAATTTAACATAAAAAGAAATCAGATGATGCAGTTTTTATCCTAAGCTTACCACCTTATTTATTTTGGATATTTGGACTTTTAGTACATCTTTTTATATTTTACTTAAGTTTAAATGTGGCCCTTTATCCAAATAAAATTTGGACTTTATCTTACTGTGCAGTCTTTCTGGTAATCCTAAATCAAAATAATGTCGAATGTTTTTTACTTGTTCCATAAATAATGTATATTGCAGGGCACCAGCTTCATTTTTTTTAACAATTAGGACAAGGGGGCAATAGCCCAAGGATTAAAGGTGCTCAGGTTTTTTTTAAATTTTCAAATAAACTTTATTAAATAGAACAAGTTAAAATATACAAATATACAAACTCAAACGACAAAGATTCATACAGATAAATGTCACAATAATCTCTGTGCTAAAACTAATTAAGCTTTCCTATGATACATTTGACAGTGAGTTAAATATTTCCTAGTTTATATTATGTGGCAGTTATTTCTTGCTTCCTATAGGTTCTCTATTATTTGTGTTCTATCAAACATAATGTTCTGTTATTAATATTTTTGTTCGATTATACTTATTTATTTTTACCGACGAATTCCTTCTATTGATTGTTTAAAGAGCGAGGGAGTCTAAGACTAACATTAACAATTCCTGTTTGTTGTTGTATATGTCATAATCTGTTTCATAAATTTGTTTTCCCCCCTTGATTCCCCTTTTCATTCTTTTTACGTTCTAGCCAATCATACCACTTATTCCAGATTGAGTAAAATTCCACCTCTTCTTTTCCTTTTAATTTTAATGTGAGTTTTTCCATTTCTGCACATTCACAATTTTTTTAAATAATAAATTGTATTGGTGGTATATTAGGCAATTTCCAAAATTGAGACAGTGAAATACATGCTGCTGTTAGGATATGGATAATCAAATATTTTACTTTGGAGGGATGACCTTCCTTAATGATACCCAGAAGATACAATCTAGGTTACCATCCCAATCCACCCTGGACAATTTCTTCTAACCAAGTTTTAATTCTAATCCAAAAAATTTTGACCACTGGGCATGTCCACCAGAGATGGAAGTAGGTACCATGATTCCCTTTGCATTTCCAACAAGCTGGATTGGATGTTGGGTATATTTTTGCTAATCTGGAGGGTGCAAGATGCCATCTATATATCATTTTATATAAGTTCTCTTTAAAAGACACAGATTTAGTTATTGTAAGATTTCTCTGCCAGATTTCTTCCCAGTCTTCTAAGTCTATATTATGGCCGAAATTTCTTGCCCACGCTATCATTGGTCCTTTCACAATTTCCTCAGCTAATTCATATTCCAATAGATAATTATATAATTTAGATATCATATTTTTATCTGGGCACGAAAGTATCTTATCAAATTTAGTGCTTTTTGATTCTATTCCAAATTCTTTTAAATCTTTCTCATATCTTATTGCTATTTGGAAATAGGACCAATGATCAGTCATTATTTTTTGGTTTTCTAATTCTTGGGTTGATTTGAGCTTTCCTTCTTTGTCTAAAATTTGGTGATGTTTGAGCTTTTTACTGATGTCCATTATATTAGGGTGGAACATTGCCTCCATTGTTGACTACCATAACGGAACTTTCATATAATGGTTTTTCCTAATATCACACCAGGTTTTTATCAAAGATTTGTATAAAGTATGTCTCTGAAAGTAAGAGTGATTTTTACTATTCAGGTTCCACAAGAAGGCATGTCACCCTATTTGTAAGCCGTATCCTTCTAATGTTAGAATCCTTTTGTTTTCCAGTTTAATCCAGTCCTTTATCCACATTAACATTGCTGCTTTATAATAGGTCTCCCAGGCAGGGAGACCAAAGCCACCTCTGCTTTTATTGTCTTGTAAATAAATTTTCTTAATTCTTGACTTCTTGCCTGCCCAAATGAATTTCATAGTAATTTTATCCAATTCTTTGAAAAATGATTTATCCAATAATATAGGGATCGTTTGGAATAAATAGAGCAATTTGGGTAGAACATGCATTTTAATTGTGGCAATTCTGCTTAATAAAGAAATCTGCAATTTGCTTCATATCTCTTCCTATTTGTTGTAATAATTTAACATAATTGTCTTCTTTCAAAGTTATTGTTTTGGGTCTTAACCATATACCTAAATATTTAATCTTATTGACAATTTGTAGTCCCAATATTTCTTCTAGTTCTTTTTGTTTATTATTTGTTATATTTTTAACTAACATTTTGGTTTTTTCCTTGTTGATTTTCAACCCAGCTAGTTTACTGAATTTATCAATTTCTTTTAATAACATTGGTCCTGACTCTATTGGATCCTCTATAATAATGACCACATCATCAGCAAATGCCTGTAATATATATTCTTGTCTTTTAATCTTAGTACCTTTAATTTCCCCATTCATTCTAATTCTGTCCAGTAATTTTTCTAATATTGTAATAAAAAGCATAGGCGACAATAGGCATCCCTGCATGACATCCCTTTTTATTTCAAAAGGATTGGTAAATTCTCCATTTATCATTAGCCTTGCTTTCTGAGTTAAATAAATTGAATCTAACATCTTTGCGAAGTTATCCCTGAATTTCATCAAGTTTATCTGGCATTTCATAAATTCCCAGTTTAGATTGTCAAATGCCTTTTGTACATCCAGGAAGACAAGAACAACTTGGCTTCCTGGGTGTGTTTCATAGTATTCTAATATATCAGTTATCATTCTTGTATTATTTCTAATCTGTCTCATGGGAAGAAATCCATTCTGGTCAGGATGAATTCTTTCATTAAGAATTAGCTTCAGCCTTTCTGCCATCACACTCATTAAAAATTTGTAATCTGTGTTTAAAAGAGATATTGGTCTGTAATTTTTTACCTGGGTAGCATCTGCACCCTCTTTAGGGATCAATGTAATATGGGCCTCCTTCCATGATTCTGGGACTCTTGCCTCTAATAATACATCGTTGCAAATCTCTAGGAACAAATTTTCTAGTAGTTCTCCAATCTCTTTGTATAATTCGCTTGGCAACCTATCTGGGCCTGGAGTTTTATTACTTTTTTGTCTTTTAATTGCTTCTTTTAACTCATGTAAAGTTATTTCCTTATTTAATATCTCCCTTTTATCCGTTAATGGCTGTAATGTGCTTTCTTTCAAATATTCCTCTAATTTGTTTACATCTATTTCTTCTTGGTTATATAAATTCTCGAAATAGTCTCTTGCAACTGTTTTCTTTTTCTCCAATTCCGTCTCTAATATCCCATTATTATCTTGCTATTGGTATATAATTCTTTTTTGGTTTTCTTTTTTCAGTTTATACGCTAACCATCTTCCGGGTTTGTTTGAATATTCAAAGTAATTTTGGTTTGTGTATAGCATTGTCTTAATTAAATCTTCCTGGTCTAATATATTCAATTCATGTTTAAGTAATATCAAGTCATTTTTAATTTGTTCGTCCCCTGGGGCTTTCATTAATCTATCTTCTAAATCTTTTAATCTTTTTATTAACAAGTTTTGTTTCTTCCACTTTTCTTTATTTCTGTTGGCTGTATAGGCTATCGATATACCCCTTAGGTACACCTTCATTGTGTCCCAAAGAATTTGCAACAAGGTATCTTGTTTTTTATTAAATCTAAAAAATATCTCTAATTCTTCCTTAATTTTTGAGTGTATCCTTTTTCTTTCAATAGTTGTGGGTTAAGTGTCCATGTAGCTTTTTTGTAAGTTTGGTTTTTCCAAGTTATTTGCAATGGATTATGATCTGCCCAAGTATTGGTTAATATTTCTATATTTTTTGTATCTTTAAGTAGATCATTATTCATCTATGCCATATCTAACCTTGACCAGAATTTATGTGGATTGGAGTAGAAGGTAAACTGGGACACTTCTGGATTTAATTTCCTCCATGCATCTACTAAATCTAGTTCCTCAGCCATATAAAAAAAAAAACATTTAGGCAATGTATTTCTTTTTTTATATATATTTTTGATCACTGGCGTAATTCTGTTTATTGTTAGAAATTGCATTAAAGTCGCCAATTATGCAGTAATATCTTTTTGTGTTATATAACCACCTCTACAGTTAATATTCTTCCAATCTTATCATTATAAATCAGTTTTGATTCTAATTCTTCTTTGATATATAATGCTACTCCTCTTTTTTTCCCTCTGCTAGTGATGTGTATAGTTTCCCTAACTTTTTGTTTTGTAAATATTTCTGTTCTTGTGGTTTGATATGAATCTCTTGAAGACATATTATACCCAATTTCAGCTTTTCAAGTTTCAAAAGTACTTTTTTCCTTTTTGATGGATTGTTTAAACCATTAATATTTATAGAAATCAGTGTTAATCCTTTCCCCATTCTTTTTTATTTTAGATGTTACCTCTTGTTGGTTTTGGCTATTGTTTGACTTCTGGTTTTGATTCCTGTTTCTTCTCGGGTGGATCTTTCACCTCTATCTTTTTTGTTTTGATTTTCCTCTTGTTCTTTAGTTCTTTGTTGTATTTCTTCTTGACTTGGCATTTCCAATTCGTCTCTGCTGCTTGTTTCCTCCTCTGATCCACCCAGCTGTTCAAAGAATTATTTAGGTTATCAGTTTTCACTCTTTTTTCGTCCCAGGATGTCAGAATACCTTCCGGGGTAATCCATCTAAAAAAAATTTTTTTTTGTTCAAAGAATTAGCGCGGAATCAATAGTTCTTCCTCTGTTCCCGGACTCTTCTTGGTAATTGTTTCAGTACTATTATTTCTTTATCTTTATATTTTATTGTCTCTTCTCTAGAAA